AACCGAAAACTATTATCATGTATACATGTTACAATAAACCTTTTTTTCTCTGGTACTGTTTGGCTGTTGGATTATCAGAGGCTAAGAATGACGTTAACGCAAACGGGAAGAATGGAACTTCTTGCCATGGGCTTGGAGACACTTTGCCCGAAAGTTGAATTATATTTGCGTTAACTGTAATCGAGCGATATATTTTTTGCCATTTTCCAATGCTGCAAACTCGCTGTTCTTTAATAGGATTGGTGTCTTATAACAATTTCTAATTACTTAATATTATTATGTTATTTGTTGCCCCGATACTCAGATCTTCCGCTCATCCTAGATCAACCTACAGTGTGTTATCTCCCTTGCCAATTTTCAGGGTTACCGTGGGTTTCCCCGCATGGGAACCGCTAAGATGAATCGCCTATAGCATGGCATTGCAACCGCTCATCCCAAAAAGCGGGAGGCTTGGGTACCAAAATACAAACAAAGATGGAGAACGCTCTATGTACGCCTTTGTGAACTCGTGAAGATTTAACACTTCATGCCGTTCTTCAACTTCTTACCTGAAAAGTGTCGCTTAGGGCGAACTGTATGATTTAAGAATAAGTTTAGGCATGGGTTTGGATTCATCAAAACCAAACCAATCAGATATTCACGGAACAGAACTGGCTCTTTGCACGACAACTTACCGGTCATTTCATTTGAAAGGCGAACCAATTCCTCCACCCTTTACCATCTTGAAGGAACTAAAGCATTCAGACCCATTGAAGGTAACAGCCTGTGCCTTTTCTCCGAACGACGATACAAGTTTGCTGTCACTTACAACGTTTGCTGGCCATGATTTGAGACATTTTCGAGCAGGATTTGTTCAATGTTGGGACCTCGATAGCCTCGAGGAAACCCATGATAACAGCCTGTTCACGTGCTCACCGCCTCTCGTTTGCAATTTTTCGCCAAATGGGGAGATTTTGTCGATTATTTTAGGCACAGGTCACGCAAAAATTATTTTGGCTGAGCGCACAGACGATTGTACTCTAAAACCGTTCATAATTAACTGTGATAAAGGTGAATATCGCGATAGAAGTCGTCTGACCAGACCTTTATGTTGCGTGTTTTCTCCGGACGGCCGCAAAGCCGTGACAGTGAGCAATGTTACGCTAGAATCTCACAGAGGTACTGAAACAAATGATATTTGGCTATGGCAGGTGAAGTCCAAGAAAAAGCTAAAAAGTTCAGGGAGAGTCAGTTGTGAAGTTGTTTTTCCAGGATTTTCCGGTCACTTGATCAGCTGTGTCTTTTCACCAGACAGCTCCCTTGTTGCATTTTCCAGTTCCTTGAGTCAGCTATATGTTCTGAAAAGTGAAAATTTAGAGTTGCTGTCTGCCATTAGGACTGATGTTGCAAGAAATGCTTGCAGTTGTTCTTTTGTTCCCTGTTTTCCATTTCAAAAGCTTGCAGCCTGCTATGAGGATGGTGTTTTTCAGATCTGGTATATTCAAGATGGTAACACTAAATGTGTAACAGAAACAAAGATTGTGACAGGTTCAACTAAGTTGACAGCATTTTCATACAGCGCAGATGGTGCCTTATTAGCCTTTGGTACTTCACAAGGAAAAGTTATTGTAACTGAAACAGAACTGTTACAGACTCTTTATGAGATAAGTTCAATACATGTACCTGATGCCAGGCTAGACTCTGTTTCTAATGAGTCAAGCACAACCATTGTGTGTTCTGTTGCCTTTGCAAGGAGCTGTAATGAACTGGCCATTGGACAGAGTGATGGCTTAGTTCGGATCTGGCAGTTGCCTCTAAAATTTGAACTGCAACATTTATGTCGTTTAGTGATTAATGGGTTGGTTCCACCAGCACAAGTGACACATCTGCCCTTACCAAGAAACTTAAAAGCTTATCTATTATTTTCACCTCTTGCTAGTACAAGAGTAAATGAATGTTCTTGAAGATCCGAAGCAAATTGTAGCCATTAAAGAGACCACTTAGACACAGAGACTCTATGGTGAGGGGGCCCATACCATCTTTCCTATTCTATTCACAAACATGATGCTATCGATATTGCTGATCCTAGCAGTACACAGGACGTGTGTCATATGTACCTCATAATAGGTGTCGCTCACTCACCATAGAGTCTCTGTGGCTCAGTGGTAAAGCATTGGAGCATGGCCTAAGGTTCTTGTGGTGACTCAAAAATTTTTTCTTTGTCCTACGCTTGTCACAAGATGAAAAACATCTTTCGCTATTTTTTTACTGAGCTCAAACTTACCATCTCTCTCATACTATTTAGAACCAGTTTAATTGTTATCTTCCAAAATATGTCTAATAGGAAATTGAAACTTAAAAACATTAGGTATTTGTCACCAGTGTCTCAAAACTATTTAGCTTGTTTCTAATATATAATACCAAATTTGACTAATCTTCCATGTAGTCAACATTCCAATCTGTTCATTGGCAACTTCTTTCAGCTGTAAAGAGTTTTTTCTCAAATTGAGGTCTTGTTTCTCTTCAGATGTTTGATAATTTTTGAAATGTTGTGGTAGATTTGCAACAAAAACAGGCAAAACATAGGAACACATGGAATTTCAAGCCATTTAGTTCCAACACCAAATAACTATGTAATTTCTTGATATCAATGCTGTAAATTATTTTATTTTATAAGTTTGAATGAGGTCAATTTATCCCTCATTGTATCTGAGTTAGATAAAAAATGTTCTTAACATTACTCAGAGCTATTACTTTGCACTTAAGTGCAATTGTTAGTTCATCTTGAAAAAAATTACAGTGGCATATCATAAAAAGAATTATGACAAGACTGCCAGACCACACCCCCCCACACCCCCCTTGCCTCAACAACTGGCAATGCAGCATTACTGCTGGCCTCGAATGCAGATTTTCAAGTAAACCTTTTTTCAAATGGTAGTAAGGTATATTTATTTTGAATTTTCGTTGATGATCTGGCACACTTAAATGTTATGGAATTAGGGAAATCTTGCAGAATAAAAGAGGATCTATAATTTTACATATAGTTGACAGTTGCTTCCTAAGTAGTCCTAAAACTACAAGAAAAATAGAAGAGTCGTGGTCAACGTAAACATACCTACAAGAAAAAAACAAAAAAGAAACAACTCAGTCCTCTTTCCTAAGTATAGCCATGGGCCAAGATCAGCTAAAGGGTTACCCAACTCCTTGGGTAGCCTGCGCCAAGCTCTTGATCCACAAGCACGCAAATGTAAAACAGCAAATGCAAGTGTTTGCCTTGACGACTGCAACTGCTAGCTAATTTGCTCTTCACGGATTAGGTACCTGAAACAGGCTACAGCCTGGTGTAGATCTTTGAGTTGGCAAATAATTTATTTACATATTGGTTCTCTCTGTATGCAGAATGGAGACGAGGCTGTTAGAATCTTATAAAAAGAGTAAAAACAAGAAAAAATGATAATAGAATCTGCCGGGGATAAAGTAGAGTAGCCATGGCCTTTGGTTGATCAGTTGACGATAGAGAACACATGGCTTCCAAATCACAGCTGTCAACAGTCTCCTTAAAACATGACAAAAATTCGTCAAGACTACATATTACGTTTCCATGACAACATGGCAGAGTTACTGGTTCCTCGTTCACCAACACCTGCACTTTGTGATCCCGTTTTTCCGCCATTCCTGAGGATTTGCACGCGTATAAAACCACAGCGACATTGCCCGACATGGGAACCATGTTAGACAAAACGAATTGTCGCTTTCTCGTTTGGAGGTAATTATCTGCCCGCAAAGGCATGGAATCTTTGAAAAGTCCGAGAATTGTCAACAACCCAACTAAAGTGCCTGATGACGTGAATCGAAATACTCCCCGAAGATCGGTTTGACCTGCGGAGAAGTCACGCAAATTTTTCGTGATTTCAGAGAGCAGAGTGCATTCTATCTTCAGATTTAGCTGGTTTCCGTATGAGTGCTCGTAATACGCTTCCAGATCACCCTGATACTCCATTATTTTGACATCATTATCTTCCAACAAATCACACCAGCTGCGGTCGTTACGGTTCATTACTCCAAACGCACACAACCGGAAAATTTTCTCGACAAGATCAAACGTCAGTGACATCTTTCCGGTTATCTTGAGTCTTTTTTCAAGTCGTTCTGTTACACTCCTAACTTCTGGCCCTTTCAAAAACTTTTCAACTTCATCAAGGCCATTTTCGTCAACGTCGATCTCGTACCGAGGACATGTTTTGTAAGAAGACAATAATTTATCCTGGTATTGACGACCAGAAAACATGACAGCAACGGGTTGAAATTTTGATGGGCTTACAGGACCTTGGGATTCAAATAATCCGTGGGCAAACGCCATGGCGCTTTGAGCCGTGCGAGGTTTATCTGAAGACACAAAACTGTAATATTTATTCCAATATTTCTTGTCGAAGACCCTGTTAAAACGGGCTCGAAACCTTTTGGCGATACTGTATTGTTCAATTTCACCAACGGCTGTTAATTCGCCTGGATTACCGTCGTTCCACAGCGGTGGTTTGATCCATGGTAACGTGAGATTTTGGTAGCGGAATGGCGAATCTTTTGTGTAGATTTGGTTCAGCTTGGTTAAAAGTGCATCAATTTCTTCCATATCGCCATCACTTGGAAGTCGAGAGCCGTGGCGTATCACCATGTTGAGATGAATAGGTTCACATCGGTCGGGGTGTGTTATCGAGGAAGCAGAATTGTTGAAGTGGTATGCTGTTTTCGTTCCAAGGCGAAACGTTTGCGAGCCTCCAGCATACTGAAAGAAAAACAATCGAATAATAGAGAATAAAACCAGTTTCAAAGCCATGTTGAGGGACGTTCGTGGCTGTGTTTACACGGCCGAGTGTGCATGCTTAAACCATAACAACGTCATGTTTAGGGGATATTGATGCATAGCTGAAATGTAACGCTTGCCGATAGAGCTACACAAAATGCAAAAATGTCACGTCAAAGAACGTCATGACGTCATTGTTTATGGGCAACTGAGATTTCCTTCGCCTTTCCCTAGATTGTGATGCTCATACTGGGAGCCCATCGCTGATAGTGACAACTAGACTCCTAAAGAAAAGCGAACTTCTGCTGAGGATAAAATTATATTTAGAAAAATAAGAATACATTAAGCCGTGTTCGTGGTAAATTATGGTTTGACGAAAAAGAAAACATCACGATGAACGAAAACGAGCTCATTAAAATTGATGACAATAAACTATAAGTAAAAGTTTCGCTTCCGTTTCCCTTCGTGTTTGCTTATGTTTTTCCATACGTGAGAAGTAAAAACAAACAGCACTATGATCCAAAACATTGAATTAATTTTGAAGCAGCCTTGAACTGAATTCTTTGTCTTTTTAAATTAATTGTTTGAGTAGTCAATTATTTTCATCTATCTATTTATTCGTTCATTGATTAATTTATTTATCTGTTTATTATTTTTTCATGGAACTCTCTTCCGAAAAATAGATGTACCTGTCTTAAGTAAACGAAACATTTTTTTCCCAGTCACTCGGCCAACCATATGCTGCCTGCCCTTAAAATCTTCAAAATATACCTTAAATATCTAAAGATTGGAGGGTAAAAGTGTGATTTCATCATAGTTCATTTGACTGGGGATTATGAATGACAATTCCCCGAAGGTGATTGGTTTAAAGGAATCTAGACAGGCAGAACTATAATGATGATGACAATAATAATTAATTGACGATTTCGATAGCGCCATATCCATTAGCTCATAACACTTTACAACACTTTGCGGGGAACTTTAGCCAGACTGCATTGAACAGTTTACAATTTTGAAAGACATTTTTGCAGACGTTCCCAATTTCGGAATCAAGTCCACAGTACAACACCGAGAGCAACAATCAAACTCAACGGTTTATTTTCCTTTTCTGAGAAGACCAGCATGTCTAACCATTTGCAGAGGTCACAGCAATAGCTAGCACATTCTCCTCAACTATTCTAAGACGCTCAATTTTGTTCTGGTCTGGAGCTTAAACACTCGACCTCCCGCACGGCAGTGGGTCCGGTGCTCTACTATCTGAGCCAACCAGGAAACTGGTTAACAACTTTCTTATGTTAACGATTGCGGGGGAGGTCTGTGGAAGCATTTGGTCGTGTCAGCGGCAGCAGCTTTAAGTAAACTTTCAAACTGAATACATTGACTAACGCGAAAACTAAACCTGAGGCCATGTAACTCATCATGAAGGCTGTCATACGAGATAAACAAGCAATACTCGTAAGTATGAAGTGTTTCGTTGATATACCTTCATTTCAGGGTAACTTTCAGAGTTTCATCGCAAAAGAAGGAGTCAAAAGGATCGAGGATTTACTGGAAAGTTTGTGTAAATCTTAACTGATGTTAGGTAATTGCATCTGTATTATCTGCATTCGTTGAAAAAAAAATATGTCTGCATTTTCGTGGTCGTTGTCGCAAATTACATCAAAATAGAAAAATGTATTTCCCTTTCGTCAATTTTCGCATTTTGAAATTGTAAGCTTTGCTTTGCAGAAAAATCCCAGATCGACGGATTTTGGATTTTTTTCTTATTTAGAAGACTCCGTTCAATAACAGAAAAACAATCTAACGCGGAAATTAATCGACTGACTTCCTACGGAGAGGTCCACTAATTACCGATTGCGGAAAAAAGTTTACGAACGTAAATTTTTCGATGAGCACGTTCCACTGAACAAACGGAATTAGAAAAAGGCTACCCTGAACTCCACAACAGTTAGAGTCATCCGAAATGCTGCCTCACGAACTGCTCCAGGTCAAATTAATTTAGAACAAAAATAAAATACTATTGTTTTGGTCGTTTATTTCTCTTGACATTTTCGCGTGCTCTCACCTCGCTAAATGGCAAATGTTTACATTATCTGTTTTACGACGAAGACCAACAGATGTTTTGCAACCTTTGTTTTGCTTATCTTGTCCGGGTAATTCTTTATTTAGTGACATCAAGAGTTAATCATTTGGATTTTGCTTGTGGGAAACGGCAATAGATGATCCATGAGACGTGACGGCACGTTTCTTACACGTATTTTTTTCTTTGTCACATGCTCGCAGCAAGACGAGAAACGTTTTCCTTTATTTCATTATCGATCTAAAAATTTGAAATCTTTCCTCTTCGATTTACCCGCTCGAAACCGTGATACGGACAGACTCACACATATGCACTAAGAAAAGCCTTACCTGGTGCATCAGAGAGTTCTCCTAAGCTGTGGGAGAGAGCATCGTAGCGCCGAATTTGAAGGCCTGGCGTGGAGTGATAACGGGAATCAGTTAAGGAGTGGAAGAGTGAGACGGATGACACAAGGCAGGACCTTGATAGCTCCGCTGTCATGCGAAAACCAATCAAATAACTTTATCATGCATCATATAACGGATCACACGTGTCGCCAAAATGTGGTCAGAACTTGAGTGACTTGCCCATGGCGCGTGTGCCGCTTTTTTGTTCTTACCAAATTTTAGCGGCAGCTTTCACTTCAAAGTGAAAAGACTTCCGGTGAAATTGAATCTATTTTTTAAATAGATAGGACGATTACTTTTAGGCGAAAATCGCCAGAAACACACTAACATTCGTCATAAGCCACCATACGATGGCCTTTTTTGTGAATGCATCTCCTGCACTTGAAATTTGACCATTTCTTAAATATTCATCTCATTCTTTCCTCTTAGCCCTGTGATGAGGTAATTTCTGTGGAGTGCCGTGACGATATCGCCTCTCTACATGCTCTGAGAGTTCAAATTGACCGAGAACTGCTCGACCTCTCCTTCTTGAGCGACGCGGAAAGCATGGGCCAAAGAGAGCTTGCGAAAAGTTCTTCGGCACCAGATCTCCGAAACTTATCCGTCACAGTCAGAGATATGGAGACTAGTAGTGTGTGCTCAGTCGATGATCTTTCCCAAGGATCCTTGGGAGCAGAGCGTTTTCTTGGGGCAAGCACAAGCGCCTGTGACGTAAAGCGGTCCAAAGAATGGCTTGATACTTACCTTTGATTAGAATAATGGGTTGTGATCGATAGAGGTGGTAGGCTTTGTTACACTTGGGAAGGAGTTTTGACTTTGGTATCGGTATTTATCGAATAGTCTACAGAGCATTTCTGGAGGGCCTTTGTTAAGAGAGCAGACGAGTAGTAACATATGCCGAATCGCTTGAATTTCTTCAAATGTAGTTTTACTTTACTGCGTCTTCAACGACATGCTCATTACACATCTCAACAAAAATTATTCGAATTGCACTTTATCCTTCTTCCAAGCATGTTACAGACAACCCAGAAGAGCAGGTTTGATATTCTGAGAGTTCAAAACGTTAAGCTCGTGTGTCTGTATTGCAGGAGTTATCGATTCGTATTGCTTTTTTCCGATTCCTTTTGGTCTTGTTTTTCATTTGTTTATACAATAAAGGTCTACGATAGCAAAAAAGAAAGTTTGGTTTTCACGTTCAGAGTTTGCGTGTTATTGAGGTTTCGCGGGCATGGCACATGTGAACAAACCGAAAAAAATGTAAATAGAGTTCATTTTGAGTTCATGCAGAACTTAAACGCATAATTTATTGTAATAAATAACGCTGGGATGTAAGAATTGATCAAAATGCCTGACATCAAAGATTTATGACCAATGTTATTTTATTTATTTTTTCATACTATGTTGTATTTCGTTCTTGTCAGAAAGCAAAGCCAACACAATGTGTTAAGTTTAACTTGTAAGCTCAAGAAATTTGTATGTAATAATGCTGCTAAAACGGCTAAAACAAAGATAGCTGACCATGCATGGAATATTTATTTGTAAAGAGGACAGTAATTAAGAGGAAGAATGAAGTGATTACCAGAGTAAGACATTGTTGCTCGCTTAATATTGTAAATTTGGATTGAATTAAGAAAAGACAAGTTATACAAAAGTTATCGATGGTTAATAGAAGTGCAGGTATGAAATTGAAAAGAATATTGTGAAATCGGCCAGTAAAGAATTGTATTTAACACAAAGGTTGGATAATCAAATGAATTTATTGCATAATCGAGATACGTGTTTAATTACGAACCATGTGTTTTTTAGGCCGTGTGATAAAGACTAGAGAAGAGGCCAGCGTGTGTTGATAGTATGGTGTAATATTAGAAATATTAGTAAACTCCAAAGGTAGAGAACCGAAAACTATTATCATGTATACATGTTACAATAAACCTTTTTTTCTCTGGTACTGTTTGGCTGTTGGATTATCAGAGGCTAAGAATGACGTTAACGCAAACGGGAAGAATGGAACTTCTTGCCATGGGCTTGGAGACACTTTGCCCAAAAGTTGAATTATATTTGCGTTAACTGTAATCGAGCGATATATTTTTTGCCATTTTCCAATGCTTCAAACTCGCTGTTCTTTAACAGGATTGGTGTCTTGTAACAATTTCTAATTACTTAATATTATTATGTTATTTGTTGCCCCGATACTCAGATCTTCCCCTCATCCTAGATCAACCTACAGTGTGTCATCTCCCTTGCCAATTTTCAGGGTTACCGTGGGTTTCCCCGCATGGGAACCGCTAAGATGAATCGCCTATGGCATGGCATTGCAACCGCTCATCCCAAAAAGCGGGAGGCTTGGGTACCAAAATACAAACAAAGATGGAGAACGCTCTATGTACGCCTTTGTGAACTCGTGAAGATTTAACACTTCATACCGTTCTTCAACTTCTTAGCTGAAAAGTGTCGCTTAGGGCGAACTGTATGATTTAGGAATGAGTTTAGGCATGGGTTTGGATTCATCAAAACCAAACCAATCAGATATTCACGGAACAGAACTGGCTCTTTGCACGACAACTTACCGGTCATTTCATTTGAAAGGCGAACCAATTCCTCCACCCTTTACCGTCTTGAAGGAACTAAAGCATTCAGGCCCATTAGGAACTGATCAAATGATGAAGGTAACAGCCTGTGCCTTTTCTCCGAACGACGATACAAGTTTGCTGTCACTTACAACATTTGCTGGCCTTGATTTGAGACATTTTCGAGCAGGATTTGTTCAATGTTGGGACCTCGATAGCCTCGAGGAAACCCATGATAACAGCCTGTTCACGTACTCACCGCGTCCCGTTTGCAATTTTTCGCCAAATGGGGAGATTTTGTCGTTTATTTTAAACACAGGTCACGGACAAATTATTTTGGCTGAGCACACAGACGATTGTACTCTAGAACCGTTCACAATTGACTGTGATACAGGTGGATATGGCGATAGAAGTCTTCTATCCAGAGCTTTATGTTGCGTGTTTTCTCCGGACGGCCGCAAAGCCGTGACAGTGAGCAATGTTACGCTAGAATCTCACAGAGGTACTGAAACAAATGAAATTTGCCTATGGCAAGTGAAGTCCAAGAAAAAGCTAAAAAGTTCATGGAGAGTCAGTTGTGAAGTTGTTTTTCCAGGATTTTCCGGTCGCTTGATCAGCTGTGTCTTTTCACCAGACAGCTCCCTTGTTGCATTTTCCAGTTCCTTGAGTCAGCTATATGTTCTGAAAAGTGAAAATTTAGAGTTGCTGTCTGCCATTAGGACTGATGTTGCAAGAAATGCTTGCAGTTGTTCTTTTGTTCCCTGTTTTCCATTTCAAAAGCTTGCAGCCTGCTATGAGGATGGTGTTTTTCAGATCTGGTATATTCAAGATGGTAACACTAAATGTGTAACAGAAACAAAGATTGTGACAGGTTCAACTAAGTTGACAGCATTTTCATACAGCGCAGATGGTGCCTTATTAGCCTTTGGTACTTCACAAGGAAAAGTTATTGTAACTGAAACAGAACTGTTACAGACTCTTTATGAGATAAGTTCAATACATGTACCTGATGCCAGGCTAGACTCTGTTTCTAATGAGTCAAGCACAACCATTGTGTGTTCTGTTGCCTTTGCAAGGAGCTGTAATGAACTGGCCATTGGACAGAGTGATGGCTTAGTTCGTATCTGGCAGTTGCCTCTAAAATTTGAACTGCAACATTTATGTCGTTTAGTGATTAATGGGTTGGTTCCACCAGCACAAGTGACACATCTGCCCTTACCAAGAAACTTAAAAGCTTATCTATTATTTTCACCTCTTGCTAGTACAAGAGTAAATGAATGTTCTTGAAGATCCGAAGCAAATTGTAGCCATTAAAGAGACCACTAAGACACAGAGACTCTATGGTGAGGGGGCCCATACCATCTTTCCTATTCTATTCACAAACATGATGCTATCAATATTGCTGATCCTAGCAGTACACAGGACGTGTGTCATATGTACCTCATAATACGCATCACTCACTCATCATAGAGTCTCTGTGGCTCAGTGGTAAAGCATTGGAGCATGGCCTAAGGTTCTTGTGGTGACTCAATTTTTTCTTTGTCCTACGCTTGTCACAAGATGAAAAACATCTTTCTCTATTTTTTTACTGAGCTCAAACTTACCATCTCTCTCATACTATTTAGAACCAGTTTAATTGTTATCTTCCAAAATATGTCTAATAGGAAATTGAAACTTAAAAACATTAGGTATTTGTCACCAGTGTCTCAAAACTATTTAGCTTTTTTCTAATATATAATACCAAATTTGACTAATCTTCCATGTAGTCAACATTCCAATCTGTTCATTGGCAACTTCTTTCAGCTGTAAAGAGTTTTTTCTCAAATTGAGGTCTTGTTTCTCTTCAGATGTTTGATAATTTTTGAAATGTTGTGGTAGATTTGCAACAAAAACAGGCAAAACATAGGAACACGTGGAATTTCAAGCCATTTAGTTCCAACACCAAATAACTATGTAATTTCTTGATATCAATGCTGTAAATTATTTTATTTTATAAGTTTGAATGAGGTCAATTTATCCCTCATTGTATCTGAGTTAGATAAAAAATGTTCTTAACATTACTCAGAGCTATTACTTTGCACTTAAGATTTGTAGCTATACAGCTCCACTGCATGAATTGTCAGTTCATCTAGAAAAAAATGGCAGATCATAAAAAGAATTATAACAAGACTGCCAGACCACACACCACACCCACACCCCCCCTTGCCCTGCCTCAACAACTGGCAATGCAGCATTACTGCTGGCCTTGAATGCAGATTTTCAAGTAAACCTTTTTTCAAATGGTAGTAAGGTATATTTATTATGAATTTTCGTTGATGATCTGGCACACTTAAATGTTATGGAATTAGGGAAATCTTGCAGAATAAAAGAGGACCTATAATTTCACATATAGTTGACAGTTGTTTCCTAAGTAGTCCTAAAACTACAAGAAAAATAGAAGAGTCGTGGTCAACGTAAACAGACCTACAAGAAAAAAACAAAAAAGAAACAGCTCAGTCCTCTTTCCTAAGTATAGCCATGGGCCAAGATCAGCTAAAGAGTTACCCAACTCCTTGGGTAGCCTGTGCCAAGCTCTTGATCCATAAGCACGCACATGTAAAACAGCAAATGCAAGTGTTTGCCTTGACGACTGCAAATTTTAGCTAATTTGCTCTTCACAGACTAGGTACCTGAAACAGGCTACAGCCTGGTGCAGATCTTTGGGTTGGCAAATAGTTTATTTACATATTGGTTCTCTCTGTATGCAGAATGGAGACAAGGCTGTTATAATCTAATAAAAAGAGTAAAAACAAGGAAAAATGATAATAAATTTTCTGCCGGGGATAAAGAAGAGTAGCCATGGCCTTTGGTTGATCAGTTGACGGTAGAGAACACATGGCTTCCAAATCACAGCTGTCAACAGTCTCCTTAAAACATGACAAAAATTCGTCAAGACTACATATTACGTTTCCATGACAACATGGCAGAGTTAATGGTTCCTCGTTCACCAACACCTGCACTTTGTGATCCCGTTTTTCCGCCATTCCTGAGGATTTGCACGCGTATAAAACCACAGCGATATTGCCCGACATGGGAACCATGTTAGACAAAACGAATTGTCGCTTTCTCATTTGGAGGTAATTGTCTGCCCGCAAAGGCATGGAATCTTTGAAAAGTCCGAGAATTGTCAACAACCCAACTAAAGTGCCTGATGACGTGAATCGAAATACTCCCCGAAGATCGGTTTGACCTGCGGAGAAGTCACGCAAATTTTTCGTGATTTCAGAAAGCAGAGTGCATTCCATCTTCAGATTTAGCTGATTTCCGTATGAGTGCTCGTAATACGCTTCCAGATCACCCTGATACTCCATTATTTTGACATCATTATCTTCCAACAAATCACACCAGCTGCTGTCGTTACGGTTCATTACTCCAAACGCACACAACCGGAAAATTTTCTCGACAAGATCAAACGTCAGTGACATCTTTCCGGTTATCTTGAGTCTTTTTTCAAGTCGTTCTGTTACACTCCTAGCTTCTGGCCCTTTCAAAAACTTTTCCACTTCATCAAGGCCATTCTCGTCAACGTCGATCTCGTACCGAGGACATGTTTTGTAAGAAGACAATAATTTATCCTGGTTTTGACGACCAGAAAACATGACAGCAACGGGTTGAAATTTTGATGGGCTTACAGGACCTTGGGATTCAAATAATCCGTGGGCAAACGCCATGGCGCTTTGAGCCGTGCGAGGTTTATCTGAAGACACAAAACTGTAATATTTATTCCAGTATTTCTTGTCGAAGACTCTGTTAAAACGGGCTCGAAACCTTTTGGCGATACTGTATTGTTCAATTTCACCAACGGCTGTTAACTCGCCTGGATTACCGTCGTTCCACAGCGGTGGTTTGATCCATGGTAACGTGAGATTTTGGTAGCGGAATGGCGAATCTTTTGTGTAGATTTGGTTCAGCTTGGTTAAAAGTGCATCAATTTCTTCCATATCGCCATCACTTGGAAGTCGAGAGCCGTGGCGTATCACCATGTTGAGATGAATAGGTTCACATCGGTCGGGGTGTGTTATCGAGGAAGCAGAATTGTTGAAGTGGTATGCTGTTTTCGTTCCAAGGCGAAACGTTTGCGAGCCTCCAGCATACTGAAAGAAAAATAATTGAATAATAGAGAATAAAACCAGTTTCAAAGCCATGTTGAGGGACGTTCGTAGCTGTGTTTACACGGCCGAGTACGCATGCTTAAACCATAACAACGTTAGGGGATATTGATGCATAGCTGAAATGTAACGCTTGCCGATAGATCTACACAAAATGCAAAAATGTCACGTCAAAGAACGTCATGACGTCATTGTTTATGGGTAACTGAGATTTCCTTCGCCTTTCCCTAGATTGTGATGCTCATACTGGGAGCCCATCGCTGATAGTGACAACTAGACTCCTAAAGAAAAGCGAACTTCTGCTGAGGATAAAATTATATTTAGAAAAATAAGAATACATTAAGCCGTGTTCGTGGTAAATTATGGTTTGACGAAAAAGAAAACATCACGATGAACGAAAACGAGCTCATTAAAATTGATGACAATAAACTATAAGTAAAAGTTTCGCTTCCGTTTCCCTTCGTGTTTGCTTATGTTTTTCCGTACGTGAGAAGTAAAAACAAACAGCACTATGATCCAAAACATTGAATTAATTTTGAAGCAGCCTTGAACTGAATTCTTTGTCTTTTTAAATTAATTGTTTGAGTAGTCAATTATTTTCATCTATCTATTTATTCGTTCATTGATTAATTTATTTATCTGTTCATTAATTTTTTCATCGAACTCTCTTCCGAAAAATAAGTATACCTGTCTTAAGTAAATGAAACATTTTTTTCCCAGTCACTCGGCCAACCATATGCTGCCTGCCCTTAAAATCTTCAAAATATACCTTAAATATCTAAAGATTGGAGGGTAAAAGTGTGATTTCATCATAGTTCATTTGACTGGGGATTATGAATGACAATTCCCCGAAGGTGATTGGTTTAAAGGAATCTAGACAGGCAGAACTATAATGATGATGACAATAATAATTAATTGACGATTTCGATAGCGCCATATCCATTAGCTCATAACACTTTACAACACTTTGCGGGGAACTTTAGCCAGACTGCATTGATCAGTTTACAATTTTGAAAGACATTTTCGCAGACGTTCCCAATTTCGGAATCAAGTCCACAGTACAACACCGAGAGCAACAATCAAACTCAACGGTTTATTTTCCTTTTCTGAGAAGACCAGCATGTCTAACCATTTGCAGAGGTCACAGCAATAGCTAGCACATTCTCCTCAACTATTCTAAGACGCTCAATTTTGTTCTGGTCTGGAGCTTAAACACTCGACCTCCCGCACGGCAGTGGGTCCGGTGCTCTACTATCTGAGCCAACCAGGAAACTGGTTAACAACTTTCTTATGTTAACGATTGCGGGGGAGGTCTGTGGAAGCATTTGGTCGTGTCAGCGGCAGCAGCTTTAAGTAAACTTTCAAACTGAATACATTGACTAACGCGAAAACTAAACCTGAGGCCATGTAACTCATCATGAAGGCTGTCACACGAGATAAACAAGCAATACTCGTAAGTATGAAGTGTTTCGTTGATATACCTTCATTTCAGGGTAACTTTCAGAGTTTCATCGCAAAAGAAGGAGTCAAAAGCATCGAGGATTTACTGGAAAGTTTGTGTAAATCTTAACTGATGTTAGGTAATTGCATCTGTATTATCTGCATTCGTTGAAAAAAAAATATGTCTGCATTTTCGTGGTCGTTGTCGCAAATTACATCAAAATAGAAAAATGTATTTCCCTTTCGTCAATTTTCGCATTTTGAAATTGTAAGCTTTGCTTTGCAGAAAAATCCCAGATCGACGGATTTTGGATTTTTTTCTTATTTAGAAGACTCCGTTCAATAACAGAAAAACAGGTCTAACGCGGAAATTAATCGACTGACTTCCTACGGAGAGGTCCACTAATTACCGATTGCGGAAAAAAGTTTACGAACGTAAATTTTTCGATGAGCACGTTCCACTGAACAAACGGAATTAGAAAAAGGCTACCCTGAACTCCACAACAGTTAGAGTCATCCGAAATGCTGCCTCACGAACTGCTCCAGGTCAAATTAATTTAGAACAAAAATAAAATACTACTGTTTTGGTCGTTAATTTCTCTTGACATTTTCGCGTGCTCTCACCTCGCTAAATGGTAAATGTTTACATTATTTGTTTTACGACGAAGACCAACAGATGTTTTGCAACCTTTGTTTTGCTTATCTTGTCCGGGTAATTCTTTATTTAGTGACATCAAGAGTTAATCATTTGGATTTTGCTTGTGGGAAACGGCAATAGATGATCCATGAGACGTGACGGCACGTTTCTTACACGTATTTTTTTCTTTGTCCCATGCTCGCAGCAAGACGAGAAACGTTTTCCTTTATTTCATTATCGATCTAAAAATTTGAAATCTTTCCTCTTCGATTTACCCGCTCGAAACCGTGTAACGGACCGACTCACACATATGCACTAAGAAAAGCCTCACCTAGTGCATTAGAGAGTTCTCCTAAGCTGTGGGAGAGAGCATCGTAGCGCCGAATTTGAAGGCCTGGCGTTCGATTCCTCATGGGTACTCAGAATGTTTTCCTCGTTCCGCGTTTTTGACAAGACGAAGAACATCTGTCTCCTGTAGAATATCATGTTTTTTTTTCATATTCAGATCTCTAAGATTAATACAAGTGTTTTAGAGAGCGATTTAAGTATCTTTGTGAGTTGAAAAATCCGCCATGTCAACAACTTTCGATATATTTCTGGTCTGCTTAATTGATTGCTGGATTGTTTTGCAATTAAGTTGCAGTTATCTACCACACAGAAGTTATTGTCAAGGTACTGCCATGATTAAAGCGTCGGTCAGTTTTTTTTTCCGCGTCAAATAAAAAGGGGAAATCACGTTTACTTTAACGCTTTCCCCTTGTTCCTAGCGGTAAATTTAGCTATCTCCCGATAACTCGTGTTTTCCCACCGGGTTATCAGGATACAATGTCCCCTTTTGTTTTATCGTCCTGGAACCAAATTAGCTAGACAAACTTCCATCCTTTCATATGAATTAAGATTCCGCTTTTTTATTTTTTATTTTTCGGGGGGATTAGGTAAAACTAACTTTCAAATGAAAAGTTATGAACGGTGCCTTATTTTGATATTCAACAATCATTCACGGAAGTTATGGTAAATAAAGGTGGATTAAGGTGTTGGTCAGTTTTTTTTCCGCATCAAATAAAAAAGGGGACATCACGTTTACTTTAACACTCTCCCCTTGTTCCTAGCGGTAAATTTAGCTATCTCCCGATAACTCGTGCTTTCCCACCGGGTAATCAGGATGCAATGTCCCCTTTTGTTTTATCATCCTGGAACCAAATTAGCTTGACAAACTTCCATTCTTTCATATGAATTTCGATTCCGCTCTTTTCTTTTTTCTTTTTCTTTTTTTTTGGGGGGGGGGATTGGGTAAAACTAACTTGCTAATAAAAAGTTATGAACGATGCTTTATTTTGATTTTCAACAATCATTCACGGAAGTGGTGGTGAATAAAGGTGGATATTTACCCCGCCGCTTCGAGGCTAAGAAAGTATCCCCACTCCTACCGATAACGAGGCAAAGATTTGGTTTAGTATAAACCCCGAAAGAGCCCCTAAATTACCTTATTTCTGTCAATTTACCGAAAAAAGCTCAGAAATTAAACTTGGGATGCTCGAATTTGTCTCTTTGACAGTTTGGAGGAGGCCAATCAGAGAGCGAGAAAAGCACTATTTACTTGCGTGTTGTATACTAAAAAGGCTTCATACGAGTATGAAATAGACCATTTTGCGCAACTATGAGACAGCATACCGTTTACTGATTTCAAAATAATGCACTTTTCTTTGGGGCTAGCGTAAACGGACGTACGTGAAGTAAGTATTTCGTTAACGCTCTACGAGTAATTTTAAGTGCGCTGCAAGAAAGCACTCATGTCATTTCTACTAGAAGGTTGTTTTAAGTTTTCACTGCGGCTTATTCCATGAAACTTTAAGAAACTTGTTCTAACTACAATAACTGCGGCTAATCTAATGTTTGACTTGACTTTAGTAGGTTAGATATAAAAACCGCGAGACAGGTTTGTGTTTGAGGCGACCACTCTTTGTTTTTCTTTTGAAAATTTCTAACCTTTTTTTAATTACTTTTCGGAAAAAGGTCGCAAGCGCACTTTAGAGGTAAATAAGTGAATTTCTGCGGACATTTTCTCAGTAAATTTGTCAACCAAATCATTTCCTTTCGGAAAACTGGTCTGTCAATTTTTTATGACAGTGGTCAAGGAGAGTTGTCAGCTGAGAAAAAAGTTGCCACACTACTTAAATATACTTCCATGGAAACTTGTCTGTGAAAATTCGTGTTAAATTTCAGTCTAGAGCCTTAATTTCTGCGGTTTGTGTTGCGGATGTTTCAAGACGACGTGCAAGACAGCAATCTGGGTTTAAAAGTCTTAGCAGCTGCAAATAGCCCCAAAAGTTATTTATTGAGTTGCTGAGTAAAATATTTTCCTCAACGAGGTGTTTTGTTTTTTGGAGTTCCCATCCATTTTAAAGCGTCCTTCCCCGCCACCTTAAAGACAGATATACAAAACTCAACATTGTATTGGTAGTGGGACGGGGGGAGAGGGGAAGGGATAGACACAAAAGCAGTAAGGTAGGGGAAAAAGCTATGCTTCCGAAGACCTTACTACTCACTGATTGTACGATTGCAAAAAAGTGTTAATGAAAATTGGTCCCGCCTCAGTTTAGAAATTAAGGAGGGATTTTCATTCACTGATTTCGGTTAAAAAAAAATCTAGAAATTTCTACTTTTTTTCCTGCTATTGAACCAACGCTGACAAGTGAGATGTTTTGGTAAATCTTCAGACTTGACGGTTTAAATCTAGATCTTCTATTGCAAGCATTTGGAAAATTAGACGAAAAACAGAGTAAAAGCTCAGTGGATGTCACAGCATTTTTCCTCCCACTCTTATATAATTGATGGAATTTTGATCAAAAAGACTTGTTTTTCTACTTTAGACAAAAAATGAATAATTGAATGACATCTAAATAAGGTACCTGTTATAATTAGATAGATAGATGTATTAGTCGCATATTATTTAAATATGCATTAGAAAGATACGACGAAATCGAAATACATTACATAGAATAGATTGATTTATTTACGAATAATTTTTGGCAAAACACGCATAGTGATCAGGATGAAATTATCAAATAAACCATTGCCGTAGTTTCCTTTTGAACAAAATACTCGGCTAGAGCATGATTTTTTTTTTTTTTTTCCTCTAATAAGATCGGTGCCCATGTACAGATCTGGAAAGTGACAGCGATTTAACCTTTTGTTTACTATCACAAAACTGTAAGCGAACAAAAACACATAGTACCTTGCCAGCCAGTCCAGTGGAAGGTTTATATTTTATTGATAAACGTTTACCCCAAAATTAACTCAAGAAGCTTGAGATAAAACCTCTCGAAAATATTATCAATGGATAAACTTGGTTTTGAGCCTAATGAATTATGTGCATAACTTACTGTCGCTTGAGTAGGCGCGCAATTTCACTCGTTTATACAACTTATTTCGAATTTGATTCTGAATTTAACAATACCAGTGATAAATTAGGGCATACGCTCTCGTTTCACGATGCAAAAAACATATTTATACATATTTGACATTTAATCTCTGCGTAAAAGTCAATTGCACTTTTCTAGAGTCGCCAAAACTTGCCATTTTTGGTAGTAAAAGTGAAAGACATTTCTAAATTATAACATCCGCTGTTGAGCTCGGTAAACAATAGGACATTTAACAGAAAGTAAATAGATAGAGATGAAATAGGGGTACATTATGGTTATTCTAGAAGCACATTGCCTTTATTGCTCATATCAGCCATTCAATTTAAAGAAGCTTGTTCTTCCAAATTTGAAGTGTTCTTTGGGTCACGATGCATGTCAAACGTATCAAAAATTTTTTTTTTTTCATTTTTTACTGTCCTCTCAACATGACAAGAATTCATCACTCTTTTAATTTTTCTGATATTTCCATCAAAGCCAATTCTTAATTCAGGTTTGTTAAAAAATTTTAAATTAATGGGTAGTTTGTTTTAGGGCGAGAAACTCATTAGTCACAAAGAATCAAATATTATTTTCTACAGATATTAAGCGAGAAATCTTTACATAACCAAAAATGAAAAGTAAACATTGGAAAAATTTTAATTAATGGAAAAAAAATAGCAGTTCAAGTTTACTAGCATTACAATTTTGTGCAAATCTTAATGCGGATTTGTATCGGAAACCGAACATTTCTTAAAGACCCGCGGTCTTTCTCAATCCTCTGCCTTGTTTATCTATTTATTTACTTATTTATTTACGTATTTATATATAGACTTATTTATTTATTGTTCTATTTTATTTATTCATTTATTTTTCATTGCCTTTCCTTCTGGCAGCTTGTTCGCAATTGAGTAAACGGTCGCTTGTCAACGTAACGAATAAATTCATGACTTAGTTCTTCATCATTGGCAGAAAAGATGACACACTTAAAAGCATTATTATTGACCGTGGGCCGTGAAATGTTAAAAATATTAACAAGCGCAATTCAGGGTTGGGAATAATAAGTGTTGACATGGTCGCCTAGGGAATTTCAAGCGTCTCTTGCATTCAATTAGGAAGAAAAATGGGAACTTACTGACCAAAAGACACCGACATCTCCTCTCTTTGCGTTTCTGGTCCTCCTTTCTTTAATTCTTTGACAGCACGGGCAGCTGGCTCGGAGATGTAAAGTACAATCGAAATGAGTTTCTTCGCGGCATCCCGTGAAAACATCGAATTTCCTCAGTGAATAGTTTAATTTCAAAACATCCAGCCTCTTTTGTGAATCACCCACGATCGAATGACTTAGTTTGGGGCAAGATACCAGTGCAAATTTGGGACGAAAAATAGACTTCAGCTGCTCTTCAACGAATGGTAAGCGAACGCGAATTATTATAAACCGATGTTTGTCTTGTCCGTTGTCGCATTCGACGAGAAAAAAAAAAAAAAGCAGTGTGTAAATCTGGTTATACGAACATTTATCTAGAAACCGTTGTCAAAAATTGGTGGAAAAAAGTTCATTTCGTATATCTTTAAGCAACTAACTTATCGCAAAACGAAGAGTAAAGTTAATGTAATTTGAAAAATTGAAATGTGTTGGTGTTTTGTTAGTCAAATTGCGCCGCATTAAAAAGAAAAAAGTTGGCAGTTCGGGTGACGAAAGGAGAGTAGACATTTTCTTTCAAAACAAACAAACTAGCTAAGTTTGATATGGAAGATATAAGATATGTGCACTTATTTTCTCCCAGGCCCTGTTGTTGTATTAAGCTTCATCTAAGCTTTAATCTGTTGTTCCTTTGAGAATCCTTTCAGCAAATGCAAAGTTTAAACCGGAATACCCAAATAGCGCACGCAAACCTGTTTTGTTTGGATAAGATTATGAAACAAGTCTTCCTCAAACGTGCTTTCCACTTGATCCTCCGTGGGATATAAAACTAATGTCTCATCTTAATATTTTTCGTGTAAAATTGCTCTGTTTTGTTAATTACGTTGATGCTGAGTCAATGTTTAACAAGGCGGCGAAGAAAAGCAAAATTGATTTCCTAAATTAACGGCTCAATATCAAGGTATAAAATTGTTAAGGGCAGAATATTTTTAGCCGAGAGGATAAAAAAAAACTCTGTGGTGGTCCTCTCAACCAAATATGACTCAGTATCGAGCGCGTTTTGATAAATTACCCAGATCTGAAATTTAAGATAAAACGTTTCGTTGACCGTGATCAAGGCTTGCGGAATTGTTCAAGTTATTTTAGGGGACTGTTTTAAACCTAAGGCATGACCATTTTTTCATCCTTAATCGATGGATTTACTGATTAAAGTTGAAAAAAAACAACAACAAAAACATATAAGACGTGTGTGTATGCAGTAGAGTACTGCGCATGCGTCAGTCTCCCGGTAAGTCATGTCAGATATTCATGCTCAAATTGACGCTCGTTTTGTGACTGTAATTCCTCACTAGCAGTCTAAAGTTCTGAATATTTTATGGGGGTGATGTTAGTAACTATTCAAATTCCTGGATTTCCTCTGAAGCTATATGCTATATCAGTTAATTTTTTTATTTCTGCTCATCTTGCTCGGGAAATGCCGACCCCAATTTACGTGCGAGGCTACATATACACATGTGATTTTATTGGCTCGGAATTCCAAACTTATAGTTTCGTAGCATAAATGGTAGACGCACTAATTTCACTCAAACGTGACAAAAACATAAGCAACTTTTTGGTCAGAAGTTCATTTCAAACCAGTGACCAACGAGGAACTTTCAAATGCGCTCGCTCATGATGCACAACTTGTCCTTTCATTCATAACTCAGAGAAAAATTATACGGCACCTGGGCGGTGTAGTTTCGAATACCATTGAATCATCAACAATTTCTTGCAATTTCTTCCACTAAAGTTCTTATTTTTTATGATTTTATTCTTTAATGTTATATGTGACCAAAAATGTTTATGCCAGTCATCTCTGATTTAGTGCTCATCTTGCTTGGAAAATTTTGGCCCAAATTCCTATTCAGCGGACGTTCAAAATAACAAAACATTTTTAAGAATCGGGGTGTCCGTATTCAAATTTGACAACCTCATTCCCAGAATCTTTTCCTTTCCCTACGATGTCACTTATCGTTCGGTAAATTCAGTTTAAATTCCATGAATACATAGAAGTCGTAAAGAATATATACTTCTGCGCAAGGCAATGACTGCAAACATAAATATTCTCGTTTACTTCTTTAGAAATGATCTACAATCGCAGTTTATTATACACAGCCTATACGTGGTAAAAAAAATATGTATATTCATAATGGAATAAAAAAATTGATTTAATATGCACGAACTCACTATCGTAAAAGTTAAGAGGGAGATAAAAGAAGCAACCGTTAAAGATGTGAGGAAAAAACAGATTTAAAACCAGAAGTAATGGACATAATAAAGATGGAAAATGTGAGCCTCGGGCTCCCGCCTCGTGGCCGACACAGAACCAGTGCTTTTATATCCCACGGAGTGTAGCGGCCTAGTTTTCCGCGACCAAAGGTCAAGGCCAGACCTTGCATGTTATTATATTTCTGTAATCGTCACAACGCCTCATTTCTGAATCTAAACCGGTGTCAACTGCGACTTTCAAGGAACGAGCCCCTGGCATGGTAACTATGGTGTACTCCTGGGAAAGAAACTATGCTCTGTAAATACCTCGCTACAGCCAGGAGTAGAAATTAAGAACCGGCTAAATGTCAGGAAATTGTCGGAGGATATAGAAAGTTTCGCTTGATTGAAATGCTATCCGTAAGGTGGAGATAGATAGGGACAGAGCAATCCACTTAACTCGTGTTTAAACTTCATTTGACTTCACTAGTATTCAGCAAAAGGAAGGTTCAGGACCTGAGAGGATATTTCGTTCATAAAAACTGTACAATTTTTAATAATTTTTTAGTCTTCAAAATGTGTTCGGCTCTAGCTACGACAATTTTTTGCCTCCGTGATGCATCAGCCACTTGTGTGCCAACAAATTGTCTTTTTATGTTAAATTATAGCCGTTTATTTGCCTGTCCAGACCACCTGTCTTTCATCTTCCATGGCCGTGGGGTTGTTTTCCGTTTAAGCGGACTCAGTGATTTGAATGTTTCAACACAAAGATGTAATTTGGCTCGTAAATAGATCATTCTGTTTCGCCTTTTAAGACGCTTTCGATAATTTTCTATGCAGCACTGTAGCTTGCTGTCTCACATGATATGGTGTTATATAATTTTTGGGTTGGTAAATCATCAACACAGATAACGAGGTTAATGGAGGTGTTTACTTTCTTCTGATTGGTTCCTAACTACCAGGTTCTTTTCTCGGCAGTTTTAGTGATTATACAATGTTTTCCTTAAAATGGCGAGCTGGTAAAAAAGAGCTGCTAGGTTTAATTTTGGGATGATGATACATTCGATCAAGATTTTGCTTGGTCCACTTTGTGAAGGATGGAATCCGCAAAAAGACCCAGTATGAGAAGATTCTTTTTTTATGGGTAAGCTGATTTTAGGAACGAAAATGCTGCACGGTAGACTAGCTGTCAGGGTGTTGTTTTCTTTATTTTTTTCCTTTTTTGAAAGATGTAAGGCGCGAAAATGCCCTATGTTCTATTCATCCTGTGTTCAACTTAGAAAAGAAAAATACCTTCATCGAGTGGGCTCCGTTACAAAGAGTAATTTTTCTTTCTACTCGGCAGGCTATCTATTTTTGAAGTAAGGAAATATGGCATACGTCTATTTCCTGTAAACAAAGAGAAGATGAAGTGTTCTGCTTTTCTAGTCGTAACATACAGTGACGAAAAAATTTAAATACTGTCGAAGCAACACAATGTAATAAATGCTGCGAGAATGAAAAAGTGCGACGTCGTAAAACGTACCAGCCGGATTAGATTTTGCTGATAATATTGCTTTGTTTTTCTCAATCAAAGGGAGCACTTACTGGGGCTTGAAGATCTTTTAGTTGGAGGAAATGCAAATCTGGATTTACTCGGTAAGCGGAGAAACTATCGGTCATGTTTTCAATATTACCAATCGATGTTCCACCTGTGTATGTGAATAGCAGAATTTTTTTTGTCAAGAGCAGCAATCTGAATTGCCGTAAACCACAGCCGAATTGTAGTCAGGGAAAATTGTTCCGTTGAAAAGTAACGACGATTTTCCAAGCGATAATGAAAACAAAAGTTTGAATGTCATAAAAAAAAAGCACTTTCGTGTTCGATGAAATTAAGAATACACATAAAAATTTAAGGCGCTTCCTCCTTAACCAGCAATTTCAATTTCACACCACTCTTATCTTCCCTCTACGATCATTTCATTACAACCTTAAGATTCACAATCTTTGTGGGATGTATCTTTTATCAAACAATTTCAGTTCAGATCTGAATGGAGAACTTCGCCTACAGCATATACCATCTCTTTCAACACTGCTCTTTTTCCCCGAAATTGCACTTTTAATTATTCAAAACGTTCCACAGACTGCTAATTGCGGGATCGCTGTCCATATCGCTGCAGATGGCGAGAATTTTTTGTAACAAAATAATAACAAAATGATGTCTTCGGAATAATATCCGCGAAATCTAATTTATTAAACACCTACAAGTCTTAAACCCAATTCGCATTTTACTTTTTTAAAATAGTCTTGAAAAAAAAACACGTTTATTAAAATGCAGTTCTAAATTGCGAATTGCGTGGTCTAATATTTTTATTCTCGTAGGTTTTTATAACCGTATGGTATGGATGCTTGAATGTTGTGTACTGCCTCGCAATACAGCCGCCCTCTTCTTCCGGGACAACCGCTTTCACGCAGAGGACGGTCGTATCAGTTACACCAACAACATCAGGTAAAATGTCATTGAAATTTACAGTTACAGAAAATATTATTCTGTCCGCAACGATGAAAAGTTGAGACGGTTGCATCTTCATGCATTATTTATCACTTGCTTTTATATGGTTTTTGTTAAAGTAGTTAATCTTGAGACATCACTTTGACACCAAGAGTCAAGTATATCGATTTACATACTGTTTTTCGTCGGTGGCTCTCATCTGTTTGACCTGGGGGGAGTAAATATGTTTTAATGCCTTTCGATGTTAATAAGCGGCCAAAACAGGGAGCTTGTCCGATTTAATTGAAATAGTGATCGTAAAAACTTACCGGCTTATTCTTTAGATGTTTTTCTTATTTGGATACATAATGTGTAACAGTATATAAATAGTTCTTCTGAGTTCGCCGATTGGCTGGCTCGGAGATTATTAGCAAAGTACCACTCAGCTCGGAGAACAAACAGAAGTATAATATGGCTCTTGTATTTCATAGGTGTTAGACGGAAAATGTGTTCGTCAACAGAGCTCACAAAAGATACAAAAATGAGAACAAAGTTTGGTTTGATTGCGTAGCATAGAAATTTTGATGTAAAAAAAAAAAACAAACAAAGATCGTTAAAGAGCAGATGGAGAGCGCTATCGAAGTGGGAGACGTAACTTAAAATGTGTTAAATTAGTTGCACTAATTGATGAAGCAACAGAAACCTTCAAAAGTCTTACCTTTCAGCAGCGAAGAGAAACGAGAGCTTTTCAAACAATGAGACTCTGTTGAGCACAAATAAGTATTGCACGAGGAAAAATTCATCAGTCTAATTTCCGACCATCTATCAGTAAAATGACAGAAATTAAGAATTCGTTTGGTGCGCTAGCTATTGAAATTATCTGATGTATACCAAAACAATATTTACCTCAGTGTCTATTAAAATATCACCTCCTCGCCGGTAAATAATGTTATATTTAAATATGAATATGGTAAAGAGACATAAAATGTTTTCAAGAAGCGAATGTTTGATATGAACTACATTAGGGTTATTATCATAAGTAACTTTAATGGGCCTCTATCAAATTTTTCGAAAAATACGGATTTAGATGGTGACATTTAAAAACCGATTTCCTTGAACGTTGGATAAGATTGTTGAACCTAGTGAAAAATCTATGATGCTGTAAGCAACAAGCAATTTTCTTAAAGATCTTAAAAGACATGGTTATCAGGGTAAAAGGTCTCTTCTAGGTCTGCACCTAGCAAATTTTAAATTGACTTTTTTTTAATATGAAAACGCAATAACGGATACATTTTCATCTGACGCCTTTCCATGGTGGAGGAAACTTTGGTCTGCATCCTGGTGCATTCGAGAGATCAGGTTTACGGAAAAGGTGTTAGCTCATGCTGAAGGGCGCTAGACTGCCGTGTGGGAGGTGGAGGGCTTGAGCCCTACACCGGACTAACACTCAGGATCTTTAAATAGTTGAGGAGAATGTACTGCCTTTGCAATGAAATCTTCAAATGGTTAGACGTATAGTATTTTTCGGATATGGACAATGAACTTTGCGCCTGGAACCTTAAGGACGGAACTTTGAAAAAGCCACGCAATCAGTTTTGGCTGTTCCTACTTTCGTTATGTGGCCTTATTTCCAGAAAATTATTAACCTTGCTGCACCTGCAGAATGTATTTTCAAAACCATTGTAAACTACTAAATTCAGTTTGGCTAAAGTCCCTCGCAAGGTGTTGTTAGGCGCATTGGAGAATATTTATGTGAAGATTGTGCTAGATAAATGCATCATCGTGGATCGTTATGATCACTATCCTAGTGGATTCGAAAAGCTCCGTTTTTGATGAAGGTGGTGTTCAGGTGGTGTGGACAGTACGGTTGAAACTTAGCCCGAATCAAGGAGATAACTACAATGTATTAGTATTCGTGTAGAGGGTAGCTCTCAAGATCTAACTGTTAATTCTTCCCTTTAGCTGCTACGCATTTCCCAGCAAATTGTCACCTTTTTTAATGTTGTCCTCCGATTTAAATTGTATTTTGTTTCAAATTTCAGTGGACACTTCGATAGTTACCGCAAGGGCAGCGCCAACTCCTGTGAGATCGAGTGTTTCAGCCTCAGCTTCACTTCAAACAGAAGTAACTATCAACAAGGCATACAACCTTTCCGCTACCGAACCTCGTCCTGAAACAGAGATTACGCAGGCCGAGCCTCATACTGAAGGAGAGGCGCGGGCAGAAGGCGAGTCAACTGCAATAAGTGAACAAGCAGGAGAATCCGAGCCATATGTAGAACCAGAGACATGGCCGGAGCCAGGGCCAAGATGGAGTGAGGCCTTTGAAAAATGGAGGGCAGCTTGGTACATTCATGTCTATTTCTTCGCCATCGCTTTCCTCGCCATTGGATCTTATGCTGGTTATTACGTCATCTTGAACATTTACGACGGCTTAAGAGGAAAATACCTTAGTGTTTGTTTAAACGGTATGGTCCTGCTGTTTGGTACAACCAGGGCCTTTGTGCTGTTTTTGGATCCGTATCATCAAGGGAGCTTAATAAAGGCTCTTTTCACAATGCGCCTATTATGGTCCATCGGCGGCCCTTGTCTCACCGCCTCTGACTCCCTCATTATTTTGGCCCTGGTAGAGACCGCTCGTGTGTCCATTGCGCCTCCAAGATTTCAGAGGCTCGAAACAATTTCAATCGTGATTGCATTCCATTTTGTTCTCGTTATCATTTCAGACACAATCGTTTCTATTTACATGGAAGCAAAAATCATGATTTTACTCTGTCAGTTATTCTTCTCCGTTTGGGGAATTACGTTAGGTGCCGGATACGCAAACCTCGCGTACAAACTCGACAAGCAACTCTTCAGTCATAAACAAATCAAGGAAAAGGGAGATAAAGTATATATATTTCTCATTTACGCCTCTGCCGTGGCAAATTTTTTCATTTGCGGCGTTATGATCTACACCGCAGTGGGTGTTTTTGGTGTGTATACAGACATTGAATTCGTGGACGCCTGGCACTGGTGGACGTTGCAAACGTTATTTCGCACTGGGGAAGTTATAACCTGCGTCTTGATTTTCACGGTTAGCGCCAAGAGATCACGAGTAAAGCAAGCTGCAGATGAAGTTTCTGAGTTTGATTCTCGGTCACAAACGTTTGATTCGATAGACGGATGTTCCGCGTTTCGAAAAGTTCGATCGTTTTTTGACAGATGTAGAAAACGGGCAACGATCTCTGATATCGCAGATGCCTTTAAGGATGATTCAGAGACAATTGTGGTGGTCAGTAGAAGTAGTTTTAAAAAGAGAACTGCTGGTAAAGGCAACGATGAAGATGATGTCCTTCCCCCTGTTTTTGAAGCATTTCAAGAGAGGGACAGGGGGAGAAGGCAAGATTTGTTTTCTCATATGCGTGAGGTGACTGTCCAAAATCAAATTGCGCAGCTCGACGCGATGGCTCCAGCGGTTGCTCCTAGACCAAGGAGGGGTCGAAGACAGAGTTTATTTTCTGCCATGCATGAAGCTAGCATAAACAGCGCTATTTCCTCGTTTGCTCAGCAAATAACTGAAGCCAGCGAAGAACCCATGAAATGTGAGTCTTTCGAAACAGATGGGGAGCTTAACGAGGAGCCAAAACCTCTCCCTCGAAGAGGCCGGCGGACTAACGTTTTCTCGAATCTTCCGGAAACAAAACCGGAGAGGAAAAATCCTCGTCAAGGCATGATGGAAGATATTGTTGAGGAATCAACTGTTTACGAAGGGGAGGGTGACTCGATTAGGAGACGCCCACCACTATTGAAAATGCGGAGTTCAGACAGAATGCGTCAGTTAATTAATACTTGGCTCTCGCGAACTAAAGGTTCTTCCGATGAACCGAAAGACATTGCCGAGGAAGAGGAACCAAAAATTGAAAGAGATGAGAATTCTGCGACAGATTCCCTTCCTACAGAAAACTGTTGATGACCTTGTAACTAACTTGCTTGTAAAAAGCCATCTTTTTGGGTTCCTTGTGAATAATGCACAAGCCTTCAAAGCATTTGAAACATCCCTGTACCTCTTTTAAAGAGCAGTTTTCGACGTAGATCGTCTTTAGTGCCACTGAATACATCTCTTCCTGTTCCTGTTTGATCCACATAATATCTCTTCACAATAAAATTGTGGAAATCTTGTGTTTTGTATCTTGCAGCAGACCGAAATATTTAACTCATGCTTTTGTTTACTGAATTATTAGAGTCTGTTTGTTTGTTTGGTTGGTTTGCTTTGCTGCAGCAGTTTTTCTTTCAAAGAGTTGGAAGGTGGAGGGGTGCTTAAGGTGATTCTTTAGTAGAGTCAAAGCAGCCCAAAACACAGCCAGGTTGGGTAAAAGAAAAGCGCACATTTTGTGACATTATAAGACAACAGAGGGAGGGGGAATGATAAATTTTTAAGGAAGCAAGAATTCCCATTGCAGCATATAACTGCGCAACAAGGAGCCAGTATAGATAATAAAATATAATATAAAATTAAAAAATAGGAAACTAGAAAATTTCTCCTGCATGGCCCTTTGATAAAAAGCCGTAAGGCCATGTCGAGCCAATCAAATAGACCTTATGAAAAAGATTTTTATCCTACTGAAGCCAATCTCGTCAACGTTAAAAAGACTCAAATCATATCAGTCCACACTCAATCACAAAGAATTATAGCCTCTTCATTGATTCTAAGTGATAAACATTCCTGAATGAAGTGTTTCAACTGCGCCATGTTCTATGTTGTTCCTGTTTTAGAACCATAATCTCAGAAATGATTAATTCAAAGTTAGCAATAATAGTTTTTCTATCAATCAAAATATACAGAGAAAAATAACCGGCTAGTCTCTACTTTGCCTTTGATAGATCCAGTAGTTATTAAAGAATATTTTTAGCAATATTCATTGATTAAGATTTTCTCTATAAAGCTCGTTGTAACACTGTGCGATTTTTGGCTATTGTACCATGAGTAAGCTTTAATACGTAAGAGAAACTGAAACATGAATTGGGCAAGTAGAGACAAAATACTTTAGGTGAATAAAACATCAAATGTGTTGCTTGATTAGAATTTTTGGGTTGGGATAAGAGATATTAATATACTTTGAAAGAGACCCAGCTGTGGACGTCATAAAGTTCCTTACACGACCGTTACGGCGTACAGAAAAAGGAAAAAAGTCGTAATTGATTATTAATTTATGTACGTACAAAGTTCACATTTATAGAGTTTAAGTGAAACATTATTAACCGAGTCTCTGTGTCTCATTCAGCCCTATTTACATGCTCTTAAAAATCCAATCGGTAGGCATGTTTGGGTTTACAGGACAACTGACCTTGGCAGAGCTCACATATTTTTAGAACGCTAACCCAAACAACTAACGATAACGATTTTCCAGGAGAATTAAGCCCTATTACAACGGTCAAGGACACATTACTCAAAGGTAAAAATAAATGTGAGGTCTTGCAGCGCTTGATAAAGCAAGGCTCACAAGACTCGCACTAGGATTCCAGCATAATCTAACAGGCCTAAACAATTCCCAAACACTTAGTCAGAACACAGTTCCTAATTTTAGTAGTTCCCAAACACTTTTAATTTTAGTAATTCATAATACGTACTATAATATCCACAACCAGTTAATCACTGAGTTCTTCGATCATTTTTGTGTATTTTTGTGCACCTGATGACTGAGATTGAGTGGCCTGAAAAAAACTTAACAATATCTAGATGGCTCGCCTTACTGTGGAAACATGTAGGGGAACTGTTTTTTCGTTAAACGAGAAAGTTCGAGAAGTCACGTCGAGGTTACAATTTACTTATTTTTGTGCATATTTTTATGTAAGAAATTTGTACCCATCTTTTTTAAGACAAGATAAACAAAACAAAAATACGAAAAGTAGAAAACCACCTCAAGTCATAAATATTCTCGCGGGTCATAGCATATTCTTCGAACGGAACTGTTCAAAACAGTGAAAATCAAACCTTGTAGATCCTAATACAAGAGCTCTTGCTAGTAGTGCAGTCACAGATAGACAAAATATTTCATAAAAAGTGCGACGGTTGCTTTTATTACCAAGGGTGCTAATTGTCATTATGAAATGCGCATCTTCCGTTACTTAATTGCAGAAGGTCATATAGAGTTCGACTATTGAAAGATTATATATACGTATGCTAGGAAATGTTTTTCACCTTAGTGTCTGTAACTCCCACCCTCTGTTCACCTCTACTTCGGGGAATAGTTCGGTCTTCATAATAATTCATTTTTGACGGGTAGCAGTAGGAGATAAACATTTTTGACAACATAGCGGTGGGAGGTAAATAAAAAGCACACAGGGTACAAAATAAGGAAAAGTGGGAGATAAAAACAGGAAAATAAAAAAATCCTCTAAAAAGCAGAAAAACGTTTTCAATTGTGACAATTTACATTTTTAAAAGCCAGAGGAATAAGGACATATCAATACCTTTCTCAAATCATTCTCCCAAAAATGTTCTAAGAAGTGAGTGTAGTTGCTGTCGATCTGTCCAAGGCTTTCATCTTTTCGAAGACATTTGGATAATTTGAATTTTATCAACTGCTAATGTAATAACTGCCTGCCGAATGCTATCTTATTTATATTCATGGACTTAATGAGTAGACTTTTTCATACAAACCACACTCCTGCTCATTATATCACAACTGACTTCAGACTTTACCAATTATTTATACAAATGTATGTAATCTCTATAAGTTATTTCTACTCCATTCTGAGGTTTATTCGCTTCTATCACTTATAGTCCTAATTTTCTTAGCTTGTGAAACACTTATATCATGAGCCTCGGGCTTGGGAGAGTGGGAGACTACCTCCTATGTATTTGACGTTAAATAAATGGTCTTATCTCATACTATGAAGCCTTGTTCAGTGAGACAGTCGAAAGAGTTGTACTTGTAATTCGGAAGGGAGGTTCCTCCGTTTTGACAAGGCGAAGAAGAACAAGGAGACTGCAATAAAGAAATAAAGACAAATTATTTATCGTCAAGACCAGTGAATGCTTAAACAGTACGTCGGGGATGAATGATGCTCTTCTCTTCTTAAAGTTATCAACAACACCTGCCTCGGAAAAAGTGCCTACCTGAAAAGAAAAATGATAAAAACCCATGTTTTCGTTGTAATTCTCGCCGTCTTCGTGCTTATTAAAAGACAGGAATTCGCTCCAAGGCCAAACTGTAAAAAAATAACGTTCGTTTCTTTTTTTTCTTTTTTGAATATATAAGACTTATTGAAAAACAAAAACCAATTATTATTAATTGACCATCATCAGAATTTAAGCCTAGATTGCTTAAATTCTGATGCCTATCCTCTTTCATCTTTTTTTATTATTTCTTCTTTTCCGATTCCATACGAATTTTTTAATCTTTTATCGTTCGACAGCAAAACTTTGTGTAAATGGGCGATACCGTTGACTCCCAGTTTCCTCCCGTCGGAAAGAATTTGGGCCATAATGGCTGGCTCCTTATCAAGTACTAACAAATTGATAGGGGGCAAGAAAATCCTGGAGCCATTTAATTACATGATAAAACAAATAGTTGTAACAGAGTTAAAGAGACGTTTTCTTTTTCTTCTCACAATGATGACAGAAGGCTGAATAGGAAGCCAAAATCGTCTTTCCGTTTCCCTTTGGAAAAAATAATAACGTGGGCGACGGTGGTTCCTCATAAAATTGCAGCTTACTAATGATTGCAAAAAAAAACAAAATTGGTTGATTAGTAGAAGAAACAAAATGCCTAGGCCTTGTTTTGTGTGACAATGATGATACACAATAAATTCATTGAAATGTCTTTATAGGACAGATAAGAGAGTGCGGTATTAATTTTTTTACCGAAAGCATTCTTGGAGACCGATACTACGAATATTGATAAAACACGCATTCTGATCGATTGAGAAAGAATGTTTCGTCAAAGTGTTATACTTGCGAGGGTTGGTGACGTTTTCATAATTTCAAGCGATATGAGGAAGGCGTAGTTTAATAATCCTATGCAAATTTCATTGCCTTTGAATTTCGATCGTCGTTTAATCGCTCTAAGGCAAGTCACTGATCTGCTTAGCTAACGTTTGTTCTCATTTTGCAGTCAACTGCTAAAAACAGCTGAAAAACGAAGGAAGACTCGAAGGAATAGAAATAAAAGCGAGAGTAGGATTAACGAAAATCTCAGCAGATTTGTTTTGTTTCAAACTTTTGTCTATTAGTCCAATTAGTAAATCTTGTTTTGTTTAAAACAAGTGTTACGTCGGATTTTGCAGGACAATGAGATCACTTGACATAGGCTCAACGTTGTGCACTCTCCTCGAGTTAATTTTGGTATGGCAAAAATTTTGAAATAATTTCTTGGACATCTTTCTTTTTCTCAACCGGAGTGGGATCATGAAGGAAGGGAACAACAACAGACAGCGAAAGGTGCAATTCGAGTTAGGTATTTTTATTTTTCATTCCATTGAAATATCGTTCCAACACACACACAGGCCAGAAAATATATACTAATTTTGCTTGGGATCAGAGCTTTCTTAGAGAGTATTCAGATCGTCAAAAATCCAGCGTTTACTTAAATTAACGCCTGTCCCAGGGACCTTGCAATAACTTAATAGTAACTGAGCTGAGATTAAAGGTAATATATAAAGTTTGAATTAATTTACATTTCATCCCCTAGAGTCGTGCATTTGTTACCAGATCAACACCGAAGAGATACGTGCTGATGTAGAAAAGGCCCAGAATGCATCTGGCGCCTTATGATTAAAGTTGCATCAGCCATACAAATATAGGCCGAGTGTCTTTCAGCTCCTCTGAGCTCTTTTGCATATGTCTGCAGTAAAACTACCGCCTCAATTGACAAATGACGCGCACTTAAAGCTTTCCTCCTGCTCCTTTCGAGGCGGGCATGTTCATTGAAAGGCACAAAGTACATGTATTTCGGACACATTTAAATTTGCAATATAACAGGTCGTGGAAAATGAATATTCCAACTCTAGTTACGATCAAATAATAGAAGTCTTTTTTGAAAAAGGACGCTTGTTGAATGTCTTAAAAAGACGCAATTCTTGCTTAAACTTTTTATTTTTGAGATAAGAACATGGAGGAAATTTAGTGTTATTCAAATGATAACAATTATTTTACATTAATTACCCTTTGTCCTTGGAATTGCAATGGAGCCAAGATCTTGCAGTCTCTACGAGTTGGAATCTTCGGTTAACCCTTTAACTCCAAGAAGAGCAGCTTTCCTTCGAACATGAAGAGGATACATCTCGTGTCGAAAATAGAATTTATTCGTTCAACCTGACTGAGGTCGGGCGTAACAAGAGTGATCTGCTGAACAAATCACCCGCAACAAAGTTGGATTTTCCCTCGGTTTTAATTTCACGTTCGCTATTTCCAAACCCCATTTATAAGTCAGACAAGTGCGGTTTGATGAACTAAGTTTGAAATCATTTTAAGATTATCACAAAATCGAAATTGTAGCACATTACACAAGTGGATCTCCTCGCAATCGCATCAAGATAATTTAGCTTGCACATTGGTTTTACTTGTAACAGCAAAGATAGAAATCATTTCACCTCAATTACAACTTTCCTGTCTGCCAGAATAAAATTTCCGTAGTAAGTCTTCCGCATACTTTGTTTACGGTAACCTAAACATAGAGAACGTGAAATAACTTTGTGGCAATAATAAAATGTATTACCTTTCATGTACTGAACATGCAAGAAATAAGAGGCAAATAATTTCCCGTATAAAATAAGTACAAATAATAGATGCATAGCTATAGCGTGGTCTAAAGGTTCCCATTGAAAGTATCTTTGCTTGCAACTAAAGACAAGGGCTTTTCTAATATTTTCAGAATGTGGAAATCTGACTATACAGGAATATATTTTTGTGTTGCCCAATAAGACCAATAACCAGATAACGGCACAACTGATTCCCCGTCTCCATCTAATTGGTATAACGTGAGTCAACTGAGCTCATCCCTAAGTTCAAGGGAAACAGGAGATTTAGTGAAAAGACACGTCGGGTCTAAAGTCGAGGAGAGGTGTTACATTTAGGCAGCAAGTCTTTTTAGTGCCTCTGGGAAAGTTATCAGGTAATTTTCCAGTCCAGTCTCATTCTGGGCTTATGAGTGAACCTTACATCTACAGCTATTTATCCGCTGATGTATGACTCCTCCATCTCTGTCAGCTGAGTTACATGTACGCCAAGTTATATTTTTGAATGATATTAGAAATTCAGATACCATCTCGTACCCGTGGTTGACAACAGATCATCATAATTTTAACTTTCAATTGAGATTTCTGTGACAATGAAAGATGTCGGTTGTACATTAGAATCTTTGTATCTCAATTTTTTTAAAGATCGGCATAAATTACTCCGTGAAGATTGATCCAGGGTAAAGCTATTGTTATTTACTGAAAAAAGTCCAAACCCAGGAGAGCAACCTCATTATTCGAGAAATATTCATCTCGTCGATCCAAAAGATTATTGGTATTATATGAAAGATTTCTTTCTCATTGTACCAAGATGTATCCCATGGCTTTAATATGCTTATGACCATTATCTGTGGAGTACATGGCTTCGTTACCACACGTGTTAGAGTTGTCGTGCACCCCTCCAGTGCCAAATCCAATCCTTGAGTCACACGTGTAACAACTGTTCTCGTTGTTGGCAACGATACCAATTCTTGCTTTAGCACCACAAAGGACATTGAACCCTTCCCTGTTGCAGTTGTGCTGTAAAGAGGCCTGCGAACCAATCAGCTTCTTCCACGTGCCACGACCCAGTGAGGTGGAGCGGTAATGCTCATCAGCGATCAATGAGTACAGAGAGTGAGCCTGCTTGTTGATGACAATGAACTGAATATGTTGTCCGATTTTCATTCCGAGACAGAGCTTGGAGAAGGACGTGTTCCAGTAGGTGGGCAACTTTGTTTCCTGTTTATCAAATCCAGTCTCTCCCCCGGGAAGGTTGTATTCTTCATTATTACTCCAGTAACCCGCATTATAGTGAAAGGTTGTCTAAAAAGAATGAGTCATTCCTTCATTTCTCTCCTAAGAATCGTTCGATCAAAAATACTCAATTAACGTAATTTTTCGCTCAAAGAAAAGTTATAGTTTGTAGATCTGATGTATCCTAATAATTACTCTAATAATCCTATCGATTGTTATACATACGATCTTCATAACCATCATCATGCTGGTATTGTTAGTTTTATGATCAGGCTAATAAAACCATTTAAAGCCAGCCTGTCTCAACCTTCAAGTCTGCGATAATTTTTTTTAAACCTATCACAATATAGGAAAAATGGAAGCTGTTAGTCTGTTTTTTTGTTTTGGTTGATATGTTGGTTTTTTGTAGTCTTTATTGATTATCATTTTATGGCAAGGTAGTCTTGCCATATAATGTTCCCCATATGATTGTTCGCAAAAGACGAAATATTCAAAATAAAAAAAGTTTGACCGAGTGCCATGTAATAAACTACTTATTAACCTCGCCAATATTCCTCCTTAGGGCCCTTGCGCTCGGTTAGTTAGAAGGTAATATTCTCGCCATCAAGCTAACACTTTTATAACACTCTAAGATTTATGGCAGCACTATAAATCGGCTCTAATTATTATATACACAAAAGAAACTGAAACGTGACCAAATTGCACCTTTGTGCCGTCAATCTTAATAACTGGCGTCCATCCTCCATCTCCACATCCAAAATCTCCCATGTGACAGAGAACGGGGACTGGTTGGGAGTCCAAACGGAGGGTGACAAGCTGACTGACATTAGACCTATTGACATTAACAATGACGCATCAAATGATATAATATTTACATTGTATTAAGTTAATGCTATCCAAAAAATAAAAAAGTTAACGGGATTGTTTGGTTACTACAGCAAAGATATTTTGGGTGTTAATAAATTATTAGCCTTTTTCCTTCTCGCCCCAATATTCTGGATCCTGACCTATTATGCGCACTGTCTATCCCTCTAGAACGCCTCCGGAAGGGACCTGGGTCGGAAAGTGCCTTCGTACATGTTGCACATGCGCACTATGAAAGATAATTTGATATTGTAAACAAGGAGAATCAAAGTAAGACGTAGTTTTTGCAGTTTCTAAGGAGAGTTCGAAGTTTCTAAGGCTGAGACTTCTACACATTGTTGTTCTGGACCCCATTGTATGTTGGTTTACACTCTCGTGCACTT